GAGATCGATTGTGATAGGTGTTTGGCGGTAAAGAGAGGGTGTTGAGGGGTGTTGATGTATTTTGAAGTGAGAAGTAGTGTTGATTCTATTTGAGCTGGTGAGTGGCTTGGACGAGTTGGGTTTTGTGTATGTGGAATGGTTCCCAAAAGGCTGGTGATGATTCTTGGCTTCTGCTGGCCCAGCTGAATGATGAGTCTTTGTGGGTATTGGAGGTGGTGAGAGGGCTTGATTCTTAATTCCAGTCGGTTGTGGGATCGGAAACGGTATCGGTTTGGGGTGATTGTAGACTGGAGGACTTGGCAAAGCGTTTAATGTAGTAGGAAGAGGCATTCTAATGGGCGATGGTGATGGTGATGGTGGCCAGGCGGTTTGGGGTGTCAGTGTACTCTGATCGGGTGGACGCTGGTAGGATATCCGATTTGGAGAGGGGTCATGCTGCTCAGGAGGTGGTTGAGGGTGATCGGAGGCTGTAGGATTGGTTTGTTGGTTTGAGTGATCGCGGTGATGATAGTCGAGGTGGAGACCCTGAAACAATTGGGCAATGGCGTTCTGAGATTCTCCTGATTCTTTTTCTTGCTGTGGGTGAGGGGGTGAGTTGACCATCTTGGCTTGGTGAGTTCGATAGAAAGTGTTGATGAGTTATAATTTGAAGAATATCAAGGAGAATGGTCAGTTAGTATGGTGTGGAGGGAGGGGGTAGTAGGATGCTGATGGTCATGAGGAGGAGATCGGAGAAGCTGGAGCTTAAATATTATGTAGGTGTGCTGTTTTGGATTATGTAATCCCCCGCACCGCCCAACTCTTTCACAGCCACTTGAGAAATTTGACGATCAGCAAACTCAAACTTCAAAATTCAAAGGGAGTGCGCGCCTTTGGTGCTCGAGTGCCATTCAAACAACAACCTCTCAAAGCCGAGTTGTACTTCACTGGCGCAGTTCTCTGATAGGCACTGGAAGAACGAATCAGTTTACATCCTTAGACTAGATATCACCAAGACAACTCGCAAGAGTCTGAGCAAGTTCATCAGATTCAGAGCTCAGCGAAATCGATTGAAATATAGGCCGAAGAATGGGCCGACTCTTTCCAGCGCGTCAATAATCGTCTGCAGGCTTGAGCCTAAAAGCATTAAAATGGCATAAAGCCATGAAAGGAGGAAGGAGAGGAACTCAACGGATCAGGATTAGAACAAGAACAAAGCAATGAAGCTGATTGACTGGAGCGGTCAAGCAAGTTACACAAGACCCCCGAAAGCTCCTTGTATGTTTTTGGTCTGGGGAAGCTTTCCATTTGATTTTACACCCCCCCTCCCCTGTAAACCTATGTTTGCAGGCTGTGAAGCTGTTCAACAGGAGTGTCCTCCAATCAAAAACAAAAGGATCATAAATACCTCGGGGGCCAGTGTGTGGGAATTAACAATTGAATGATTTTGTGGTCCTTTCATTAGAGGGGTTCACATTCCAACTAAAATCTTGCCAATTTTTTTTTCTTTATAAAAAAAAAAGAAAAACTGTGGAGCAATTACATCCCATACTTTGCTAAACCAGATTCCAAGGGGAAGAGAGGAAGAAGGAAAAGAAACAATTGAAGTGACTGCTCATCATGAATCTGATGATTATATGGTAGCATCAAGGGATCATCAACTCTTTCCACCCGGTTCCAACTCCCACACTGCCTGTCCAGTTTGAGTGGACAGACAACTCACAAAAGATGTGAAACTGAAAAAACTGAAAATAAATTAGCAGGATGAATCACAATCCAAACATGGGGTTTAATGGATGAGTTATGAACTTGTATTCCCTCTTTTGTTCTCCCCAAATATCCCTTTCTCACTTATCCTGCTCCTGCCACAATATAAACATCAAGATATGTACATACACACAATGGGCCAGATATCCAAGGGATGAATGATGATAATAGACATACATCATGTCTGCTTGTTTCAGATGGCCATCCTGTTTGAATTCAGCTAGAGTAGTGTAGGTATCCTCCTTCTGATCTCTCTTCTTTCTTGCGCCAAAGAACATGTATGCATTCCCCCCTTTTATTTGCCCACAGCTCATCCCCCAATCTAGTAGATGAGCTCAGTATCCAGATAGAGAAAGATTCATCTGTGTCTGATTCCTGTGGCCACTGATACAGCCACTCATAGTGAGAGTGCTTTGCCCGTCCACCTCACATGCTAGCAACCTACAGCTATATGGGCTTTTCCCCCATCCCACCTTGCGACTTGTTGGAGCTTTTTTCTCCTCCTTGTATCATCTCTCTCTACACCCATTAGGGGCCTCCATTTCATCACAAACAAACACACACACACAAATCATATGTATCCAATAAATGTTTACAAAAAAAAACACACACACATACACCCACACTCCAGACAAAAAAAAGACACCCAAAAACAACCAATGAAACATGAGAAAGCAAATGGCAATATTGACATGTATATATATCTACATATACCAGTAAAACTTGACTTGACATGCACATCTGTCTTTATTGGGACAAAATATAAACCCAGAGAGATGCAGACCAAAAGAAAAAACAGGGCCCAAATCAGAAGAAGAGACACCCCCAAAAAAGCCAAAAAGGCAATACAAAGCCAAGGGGTGGGAGGATTATGTATATTATTTGGAGTGAGTTGATTATATGAAGAGAAGAGAGTAAGAGGACCCAATCAGCAATGGAAGTATATGTCACAAGTCAGAGTTGATGGTATAAGAAGAAAAAAAAACCCCTGGTGATGTGTGTATAGGATTACTACATACAAGTTCATGACTTACAATAGTGGGCTAAGTATTGTTGGTTGGTTGAAGACAATGATCAATGGGTTATTATAGAAGTATTATGTGTATATATGGATTAGAGGTGACGGGTTTAGGTTTAGATGCAAAGTACATACAAAGAGTAATGATCATTGTGCCAAGATGGATTATAATTCACTATTCAAGGAGACATAGATCAACCAACTATGCATACATTCTTCTTCTTCTTCAAAAAAAAAACTCCACTTTTTTCGTATCTTCTATGTAACGATGAACAAACTTATACATATGTATATATACATATATGTATGGACTTTTTTTGGCGTAGTTGTTACCTGTGTAAGTCTGAGGGAGAGAACGGGGAGGAGGGGAGGGAATAAAATGGAACAATGTACCGAGAATTGCCTGCGTCTAAGAAAAAAACATTATCATCAAAGAGAAAGGAAATTGATACCAACCAAACTATAAAATGGAGAAGAAAAAAAAAAGAGTTAACGAAAAAAAGGAATTAATGAACATCAGAATGAGGGGTTATTAACAGGAGCATTTGAAGGGGTTTCGAATCGAGAGAGGTAGAAGTGGCGGGTGGGGGGAGAGGAAAAGTTATTTCATCGAGTCGATCAATAACCCCAAGCCCGCATCGCAAGTTTCAAGCCAGCGACTAAGTTCAAAAAGATTGGCCTCCAACTGAAGCTTGACGTCCTTAACGTTAGCGAGCTGATGATAGCTGAGATCTTTGTGAGTTTTGATGCGTTCGCCGGTCGGCCAATTGGGGATCAATTGTACAGGATGATGATGATGATGAGTGTTAGTAGTAGAAGTAGAAGAAGAGCCCGGAGTGGGTCTGGATGGGTGGCTGGGGATCGCAGAGCTGGAGGCGGAGAAGTTCTGATGAGAATGGGTGGTCGGTAATGGTTGACTGGTTGCCGAGCTAACCGACGAGGAGAGACTGGGATTAGCGAGTTTGTTACCCATCCCTTGGGCTGCTGAGTCGGCCATCGAACGTGATCTGATGCTGCTCGGACCGGCTGGAAGACTTGCGGCTAGATTAGCATTGGGATTGGGGTACCCATTCAAATTCGAATTCGTCGGTTTCATGTTCCGCTCTCGGTCGGGTGAAGCACGTGAGAGTGGACCGCATTAGGATTCGAACTGGCGTGGTTTGGCGCGTTCGTGGCCAAGTAACTCGAGTTGGATTCGTTCGAGTTGCCGACGCCTAACAGGGTGACGGGCGAGCTACTGGTAGATGATGCCGAAGGTCCACCAAAACTGAACCCATTCCCACCAAATTGTTTCCCGCCATTCCCCCCGGAAAAGTTCCCGCGATTGAACATTGGTGAGGGAAGGGCAGGGCCGTTAGCAGTCGATGGGAGTTTACCATCGACGACCAGTGGTGCAGTGTTTGCCCTGCTGCGATTCGATGTCGGGTTGCCCGTCTCAGATTCTTTCTTGGATACCAGTGGCAATGATGGTGAAGAGGGAAGGGGTGCGGGTGAAACTCCTACAGGAAGGATTTTGGAAGGATTGCAGTGGGTATCAGGACCCAGGGGAGGGCCTGTAGACAAAGTGAGGCAGGTTAGCCTAGCCCAGACATACGAGCAACAAAGAAAAATAGGATATTAACTCACTGTGCAAGAGAGGAGCCGTATTCGATCCATCGGTTGTTGACTTGTTCTTGTTAGATAATGTTCCTGAGGCAGAGTGTTTCAATCTGGAGGGTGTGGGGGTAATTGAGCGATTGTAAGATGAAGTAGACGGAGAGAATGGGCGGTTGGGATTGGATGGATCTCCGGTGTATGGAGGCTCTAAGAAGTGGTCTAATTCATCGGTGCTAGGGATTGAGATGGTTGGAGGAGGGATCTCCATTCTCAAATCATTTTGGGATCCAGACATCCCAGGTACAGGGAAACCAAGGCCGACGATGGGAGATGATTGACCTGAAGTGCCATATGAATTGTTACCGGGAGAGATTGGATTGGCATAGGAGTGTTGGAAGCTAAATTGATTGAACATCGATGGGCCATTTTCGTTCGTATCCTCTTCAAATAATTTCATCAAACGATGAGGTCTTGTTGGTCTCATAGGTGCTGCTTGTTGTGGTCTCAATGTGACTGCGCCATCCTTAGAATCATGTGATTGGTCGTTGGGGTCGATTGAGTTGATTCCATCCATCTTGTAGCTATTCAGTTCGTGATCATCCATAAAGTCCCAGTCAGCTTTGTCGAGTGGAGGTGATTCAGGGCCAGGATTGGTTTGATCTAGTGTTGAGATGTCAGCGAGAGATTGCCGGACGCCACCCGAGTTGATCCACCTCGAATATCTTGCGGTGAGATCTTTGAGTGGGGATAATGGAGCCTTGTTGATGGACTTGATCCATTTATGCTTACAGAGTTCCTCAGCCGCCGGTCTCTGCACATAGAAGAAGATTCGCAATATGAGAACGTGTCAGGATGTATTTTTAGATGGATGTGTTTGTGAAGAAGATATTGGAAGGATGATGATTTGCTGAGAATGAAGTTATTCGACTCACATCGTTTGGCTCGTCGATCAGACAGGCAGCTAAGAATTCTTTGACGCCATTGGAGAATTGATTTCCCTCGAGTTTGGCAGGCTGACTTCGAGGGATCTTGAGGATGACCTTGGCAGGGGTGAGATCGGAGAAGGGTGGATTGCCGTTCAACATTTCGTAGAGGGTGATCCCAAGTGACCAGATATCCGCCTTGGTATCGTAGAGTTTCCCATCGGTGATCACTTCGGGGGCCATCCAGTAGGGAGTCCCGATGAAGGTCGAACGCTTGTGATTGGTAGATTGGAGTGGAGCGGCGATACCGAAATCGCAGAGTAGGACCCGATTAGAATTGGTGAGGAGGATGTTGGCAGATTTGATATCACGATGAATGATCTCTTGTCGATGGAGATAGTTGAGGCCGATCAGGGTTTCTCGAATGATTAGTTGAGTGTACTTCTCATCGATCTTGCCAGGTTTGAGGAGAGTCCTGATCGAGCCACCTGAGGCGAAGTCCATTGCGATCCACAGCTCGGTCTTGTAGAAGTAGCAGCCATGATAGCCTATACAGTTGTGCTTGTCCGAGTCCCTTAGTTGAGATAAGAGTGCGACCTCACGTTGGATTTCGATTATGTCATCCTCTGCTGTGTCGAGATTGATAACCTTGAGTGCTAAGACGGTTCGAGTGGCATTGTGAATACTGCAGAAGGAGGGAGAAGAGGGGATGAGGATGGTGAGCAGCGAGATTAATTAAGTTTGAAATCGTTAATGAAGGATGATGGATGAAGAACCTTACCCTTTATAAACAGCCCCATATGCGCCCTTACCAACTATATCGAGCTTGGTGAATAATTGTTCGACCGGTACATCCCTGTGAGACTGAATATGTTGGAGGACGGCAGAAGAGGAGGAGGAGGAGGAGGAGGCGATTGAGGAGGAGGTGATTGCGGTGGAGGTAGTCACATTGGTCGGTGGCATGGTCAACAACAGTCAAGAGGAATAAGGAAGGGAGGGAGAGGATTAAGGAAAGCGAGATGGAGGGGAGGAAGAGAAGGGAGGAAGTGGCCACGGTCTACAAGCTGCTGCTGGTCATCCCTCATACATATTTACATACTACTTTGGTTTTCTTTTGTCTTCGAGACAACAACAACAACAACAACTTCAAATGGAATCCCCCATTGACATGACCCAAGAAATTAATATTACTCCAGTCGGCTCATGATCCTGGATTGCTGCAGGTTGTGACTGGGATTGTGAAATCGATCAGACAAGTCACAGCCAAGCTGCTCATCGAACACCCCTCTTCACACGGGTCTCGAGGACCGTCGCGAGCTGGTCAGACAGTCTACATACAAAGGGGCAAACCCATCTCCTACATAATCGATCCCAGGCTCTCAACGGCAGCTACATTATTATATGGTGTTGTTCAAAGCCATTTTTTTTAGAAATGCCATCAAAAAGACTTTTTTTGAAGTTGTCCTCACTTGCACAGCCACAGGGTCAAGAGTCAGAGCCATGCTTGACTGATTTTGAACATCAGTTGATCAACTTTCAGCCTCTTCTTGGCTTCCCTAAAGTAGTGGAATCAAGCAGGGCGTATTGACTGCAGTCAGACACCCTAAACAATTCCATCTCCCAGGTCTAAATTTCACAAAATTGGGGGCCAGCTTGTGGCCGGCCATGTTCTCCCCATCTGAAGGGCACATGTTCATGAGTGAATTAATTGATCATCTTGTTTTAAACGTTCAAATTTCGATTCCTTGCATCCAAGGTGCTCTCTTTGATCGCACCAACTTGAACATCAATGTCATCGGGGATCCCCTTGGACTGTGGGGTAAAAGGTCTTCTTCGTCCGAACCGTTGCAGTCGGAATTGATCGCGCTATTACTGGTCCCGGTAAATTATCACCCAAAAGCACTAGAGGCGATACAATGGATGAAGGTGCGTTCATCTTCTTCGTTCACCAAAGTCTCTCCCTTTGCGGGAGGTCGGTTTTGGATGGAGCTTAAGTTTGGCTGGTCGCGAAGCCATCCCTCCCTGCGGGAGGGACTTGCGACCTTTGTGGGGGTGCTCGCCTGAGCCCACTCACCAAAACAGGCTGGAAATTCACTCTTGCCGGTGGGATGGCTTTGCCACCAGCCAGTGCTTTACACCAGCGGACCTCCCACCAGGGTTAAGTTAGCTTCGTTCACAACTTGCAGTGCAAGTCCCGCCTCATCGACTGGGGACTTTTTTCAACGACTTGACAGATGTTTCCCGGATTTGATTTGAGAAGTCATGGTGGGGTTTTCATTCCACTCAGCCGAAACACCCTTTCAGCTAGAGTTGATGTCTTGAGAACGCACATGCAGATAATGTAGATCCAATCTGTCCTGAAAAAAAATCTTTGTCTCAAGAAGAATGTTTAACATGCACGCAACTGTTTCCGTTCGTGTATAAACCACGAAGCAAGCTATGTTGCGGGTGTTGCGATACTCCGCCTGGTCAAGACCTTTCGTTTATCCTCATAAATCCTTGATCACCCTTCTCATCCTCTCGTTGACGTTCCGCAAAGCTTCAGCCTCATCCAGGCTCGGAAGTGATGGTGCTCCTCCCAAAAAGACTGTGCTTATGTGTTGTTTTGAACCAAATGATACGCGCCGCCCGACTAACATTATCCAGCTTCACTGAAGAGGTCCATGCAGCACAGGATTCTCGGAGTAAGTATCCGACATCCCCCATTACGCCTCGGGATATGTGCTTCGAAATGTTTTGCTAACTTGCTTCCTTCTCGTGTAAGTTGCCATCCCGCCAAGTGTGGACCTAGGAGAATCTAGCAGTGTCATCGCGACTAGCAAGCCCATAAGACCAGGCGCACAGCAAAAACTCACTGGAAAAGATTATGGTAGTATTCCGGACGGATTGCCTGAGAGGAAGGGTATGTTTTATCGTCTATGCGCTGATGATATATTTACCACTCCTGCTTAAACTGATGATTTCATTGATCAGCTGAGAGGAATAGGATGGAAAAAGAGCGTGCGGAATCTGATAAACAGATCCAGTTACTCGATCCGAAACTCGATGAAGAATCCATCGCAATCAAATCCGAACTAGAACGGCTTCACTATATTCTCAGAACGCCCACTACAGATAGGGTGTATTGGCTCAAGGGACTCGACACACCAGTCAATTTCCTTCTTCCCAAATCAACCCCCGAAAGAAGGGCCGCCAAAATTTTTAAAATCCTCAAGAAACTGATTGCGTTGGATAGACTGGACTCGCTTCTCAAGTCGCAAACCAAGAACATCTCCGCCGATCCTCCTCACATTCCGCATGGGCAACACTTACCAACAACCTACTCTGCATCCCTGGTGCCTAGTCAAGACGGATCCCTAGTTCTTCCCATTGGACAAGGGATTCCACTTGGGAAGTTACCGATTCACAGTGGCACAAGGCGCATACTGCATGGGGATGTGCTCAGCTTGATAAAAGACAAGATCATTGATGAATCAATTCTTACTTGGAACTCCTTACAAAAAAAGCTCATCAATTTTTCGAAAGAATCTCCTGATGACACAAGAGTAGACTTCCAGCTTGACTTCTTGAAATCGTTGTTCCAGTTGGGAGATCAGATCGTCAGTTATCGACTGCTGCCCTCAGAGTTCATCAACAGCATCGAAATCTTCAAGCCAAAAACTCTTCCACAGATGCTTAAATTTCATATTGACCTTATGTTCCTCAAGCATGGACCCAACTTTTTTGCCGCCCAAGACTCGCTGGTTCCTCAACTAGAATTTTTGACAAATGGCTTGGCTGTGAAGCACTTTCATAGACCCATTAAAGGTATGTATTTAGTATTTCTTTTTTCTAAAAAAGAAAAAAAATATGTGTTGAAAATATCCTGCCTAGCGGTGTATACTTCACAATGACCAACCATTTTTGGTACTTTGCCTGACCAGAAATTATAAGCTATCTTACTCACTTCGATTACTCTGTTGGTTTTTTCTTTAAAAAAAGCGCTATCAGCAGAAGACCAGGAGCATGTCGTCTACCTTGCCCTGAGCACTACTTTGCACCATATCATTGAATGCTTCCCGGATTCGCAGTTGACTCGATCGTTCCGAACGATCGCCGAAGGATTTCGCAAGCCTGAGTTTCTTGAGCAAGCGCGCAGTCTTTCCTTGGCACTACTTGATGAACCGGAAATTCAGCATCATGTCACCGGTAATTATGTTTTACTCGTAGACACAATGGATACTCTGTTCAGCTGTTTTCGATTCCGAATCCCGACAACGATGCTAGTCCAAAGCCGAATAGAATTTCAAATGATTTACTACATCTTGGAGTTTATTGATGAATATTACAAACCGATCTTAGTGAGATTACTAGGAATCTGGGGAAGTTATCAACTTCTTGCCAAACAGCTCAAATTCATGAGGAGTTACCTAAAGTGTTTCCGGAATCGAGATCAATATCCCAGCTACATGTACAAAAATTTGGATATGTCCTTTGTCACAGTTTTCGATGCCCAGCTTCAGCCTTGGATTCAAGAGCGCCTTATAGACGCATTCAATAACAAGAGCTGGTTGAAGATCCGGGGAACGGTCCCCCAAAAGAAATTCAACACCTGGATGAGTCAAGTAAAATCAAAACACAAATATTCCCTCTTTTCCTGACTGAAGATACCCACTCCCTCATCCTTTTCATGCCTTCCAACAAGTTGCTGGAGATTTTTTTTTTTTTATAATTTCTCAATGAAAGTTGTGTGAGGTGAAATTATTAATTGCTCAATTGTAGTCAAAATTTATGATGGGTTTTTTTCATCTCATTATTCTTAAACAATACTGGAAATGGACAACTTCCCGTCAATATCTGCAGGTCTCCCAGAACTGATTTAGAGCCTTGAAAACCAAACCTCACTGCAAGAATCAAGAGTTTTCAGGTCTACTGTGAGGGTCCCAGATCCAACAGGAAGTCCTCCAATCAAGAATCCTGACTGATACTCAATAACCCTAGTACAGTGGCAAAGCCAACCTAATCTCCAGATGACCTGTTAATTCTCCATTTTTCAAACTTTATTGGAATTTCAATCATCAATCTATCTTTCTCTTTTTCTTCCTGACATGTCACTCATTTGTCACTGGTGCTCTGTTCTTTTTTCTTATTCATTATGCTCATAGTTTTTTTTATGCTCCCACAACTTGAACATTATGTGTGTTGATTATATAAAGCTCTACATACATGAGAATAAGAAGATCATCAGTTCTGACTGGAATTTTCCTCTGAGTGTCACTTGAGCCACCTCAGAGTCTTACACAAAGACACTTTGTTAGAATTTGATGACTAAACTTCTGACAATAAAACCAGACTAAGAGAAGAAAACAGTTCAAAAACAAGTTCAAGACAATAGCAATATTTGTTTTTAGAAATTTTGATAAGAAGAAGAAGAAGAAGAAAATTTACCACAACAGTTTAAGAATAAAGGTCAAAGAACAACTGTAATACTTATAAAGATTGGAAGACTAAAAGAGGACTGAATAGAGGAAAGGACAATGGTTAGTCTTGGTTTGAGGTGTCTTTGGGTCTTGGATTCTTTTCTCACCAAATGGAATCAGGCTAAGTGATCCGCTTGATGAAAATCTTGATGAATTCAAGAAGGTTGAACAAAGAATTAAAGGACTTGAGTGGTTGATGGCGTCAAAGGATGATTGATGTTGATTTGAGAGTATTGTCAGAAGTGAAGTTGGAGTATGTTGGAGTATGTTGGAGTATGGTGGAGTATGGTGGGTGGTCAAGATGAGGAATGGAGAGCCAATGAGATATTGGAAGACTTGAGAAGAAATCAGCCTTTTATACCTGAGTTAGTGAGATCAATAGAGTGCAAGCTTGTGTTTGAGATTTGGATTAGGTTTGAGATTGTTTTTTGACTGCAGTGGCTCAGACAATGTGGATAAGAGTCAAGGTTCACAGAAGGATCACTGGAGATTTCAACACACTTCAGCCCCTTTGTCTGAGTTTATAGGTCATCCTCTTGGACCTTGTCCAACTTTGGCTTTTTGACAAATTTCCCTCCTCTTTGCATATTATTTGCACAAACTTCAAATTTCTTTGTTGTTCTCTCTCTCTCTCTCTCTCTCTCTCTCTCTCTCTCTCTATCTCAAATTTTCCCCTACAAACTTGAGTTACATCTTATAAATTCTGTTTTTGTCATTAAATATAAATGATACATCAATGTGAACACCTTCAATCTAGTGAGCCAAAATTATCCTGGGAACACCCTAATTCATGTATACCACTCAATCACTGAGGGAGAAGGTGCTGGAGTCTGTGTGCACAAACAAAATCATGAGTTGGGCTTCCAAATATTCTATACTAGTCAAAACTGACTAAGAATTTTGGCTGGAGGAACTTATGAAAGCATCTAGCTATGAGATAGAACCTAAGCTACATCAGCAGTGGGCCGCTACGCTACACTACGCTAAACGGTGTGGAAAGTAAGGCGCGCCCTTGGAGATTTCTTGCACTTCTCCGCTCCACAACACGTCTTACTCCGGTTTGTTGTCCGGGGTAACTTACTTGATGGTCTTGTAGGTAGGTAAAATAACTATTCTTTTATTGGTTTTGGTAAGTAATATTCTAACTCTCTCTATCTCTAACAATTCTTTAGGCTAATACACAATTCACTCCTAAGTCACTCTGTTTTTCTGATATGTTCTGAGTCATAAGTCCTCCTTTCCTCTTTTCCCCTTCTACCCCGAACTCCACTCTTGCCAGCTATCCCACACACAAGTTTCCTCCTGCTTCCCACGCAGTCCTCCGCTGTCACTCCCTCACACTCTGCTTGTCACCCCTCCAACGCCTGCCAGTCGGCGTACTCCTCCGGCCGCCCTTTGGATTGGTCTCCCACCGCCGCTTCCGCCTCTCGGTTCCCCCTCTCCTTTGTAGCCCCTCCGCAGTATACGCTAGACCCTAGTCCGCAGTCGGCCGTGAACCCTGGAGTCTGCCAGTGCCCGGATTCCCCGCAGCAAGCTTTTTGGAACCTTGCACATTCGGCCTGCCTTTTCCCCGCTTTCCCGCACCTCAGAAAGCTAGAATTTTCTACTAATGCCCGCCGCTTTCCTCAGCTTGCATATGTAACATCAGTTCCGCCTGCTTTCCGCATCAGCCGCAAGCATTCCACATACGCCCAAACAAACCGGCCAAAGCTTTGGTCAAGGCGCGCTCTCGCCGCCACAACAGCCACTTAGTGTTAGCGTAGCAGCACTAACAGGGGCCCTTTTTTCTGTAGTGTTAGCGCACCGCTGCACTACACTGTAGTGCCACTAACAAGCTGCTTTTTTCTGTGTAGTGTTAGCGCACCACCACAGCTGCTGCGCTGCGGTATGCTACACTACAGTGTTTTTAGCAGAAAAAAAAGCCAAAAAAACCGCTAAAAAGTGCTGTAGCATAGCATAGTGGGTGCTTTTTTGTGCCATATGCGGGTAGTGTTAGGGCATATGTGTGGAATCACGCTAACGCTACGCTAAACGCTAACAAGCTTTGGCACCCTGCGCGTGTAGGCTACACTACCACTACAGTTAGTGTAGCTGGCCCACTGTTGGCTACATGCTTCCCTCTACCCACCCCTCATATACTAGAAACACAACTTTATAATGCTAATTATCATCAAGCATTATTTGCCTAAATAACAACAAAACTTAAAACCAACTGGAGTTTTATTTTGTGTGAATCCAGATATCTTGATTTTTTCTTTTTTGAATATTGTCTATTTGTTTTATCCAGATTTAAATCTTATGAACCAAAGTAAGACAATTAATTTATTTCCAAAACTTGCTGTTGCATTCCTTTAGAAAGGAGATAGGTTTGAAAAAAAAGCCCTAAAACCTAACTCTAAGGATAGGAATAATTTTTTTATTTCCAATTAAAACAGAACAAAAACAAAAATTCCTGTCTGCAAAATGTTAAGGTGCCTTTGTAATGGAGGACTTCCCATCAGAATCTGCAGGTCCCCCAGTTTATATTTAGATTCTCAAAAGCTAAATTTCCCTGCAAAAATCTAGACTTTTTGGGTCTAAATTGGAAACTGGGAGGGCCCCAGATCCAACGGGAAGTCGGTCAACTGCAAACAGTTGTGCAAATTGTTCTTGCAGTGGGAGGTTGGATTATTTTTCTGAAAGGATATATCATACTCTGGGTGGGAAGGAACACTGCTAAAGGGGTGGTATTTGTTACAACCCCCTCAGGCTGTGGTAATGTTGCAGGCCGCCAATATAGGATTGGTCTCCCAGCCCACTGATCAAATACTGGGATGTCCAAGGATTTAGTGCGGATATTGATGAGATTCATGAAGGGGGGGGGGGGAGAGAGAATAAGGATTTTTGAAATTAGAGCTTTCAACAGCATTCAAGAGAAAGAAATGGTAGCAAAATTTTTATTTTTACTGGAACAGACTCAAGGCACAAAATGAAGGAAGAGAACCTATGGTGTTAATTTCCTGTATCTTAGCTAGCTTAAATAGACCAAGTACAGGAATGATCAACATGTGGTTAATAATTAATGAACATGAAATGTAAATGAATAAAGAGCAAAAAGAAACTTATTGGGTACAACAACATAATTTGAATAGGGTCTTAGCTAATCGACTCCCAAAAAGTGGAGGATCAACTCCCAAACCCCGAAACCCCCGGAATTTCCACCGAAATCCCCGAGGAATGGGAGTCGATCCCCCAAACCCGTCAGCGGGTTTGGGAGTCGAAAAACTATTAATTTTAATAAAAAAAAAGGCCAACCCCCGAAGGAGTTGGGGGTCGACGTCCCAAAACCCACTGGGTTTTGGGTGTCGCTTACCAAAAAGACCCTGCAACGGCCGGGAGGAACACTCTCGGCCGCTGAGAGTGTACACTCTCATCGGCCGGGAGGAACACTCTCGGCCGCTGAGAGTGTACACTCTCATCGGCCGAGAGGAACACTCTCGGCCGATGAGGGTGTACACCCTCAACGGCCGGGAGAAAACCTCTCGGCCGTTTCCTCCGGACTATGAGAACCGACAGATCATTCCTGAGGGAATGGCCTTTCGTCATAAACGATACTACCATCTCTTCCACGAACTCAATCTGGTCCTGAGCTCTGCTGGCGTTCAGAAAGCGATCTGCGAAGATGTCGAACATCTCAAGACACTCATCAACTTCTTGTCTCTGTTCACAAATATGAATCCGAACAGACGGGCTGTCCATCTACACGTTGAATTCAAATCTGATGCATGGGTGACTGCCTTCAACCTGACGATCCAGTTGGCTAAGCTTTGCAAGTTCTTTGGAGAGTGTTACTCAAAGGCGAGCCCAGAGGAGTTTGTTGTAGCGGTTCGGACGTTGGTACCAAGCCTGATGGATCCTGAGCAAGACTTCCACGCCGTCCAGTTTGGTTCATGTGAGGCGGTCGATGACTCCTCCATCGATTCTGGGGTCTTCTATTGTTGTATCGACTTCAGGACCGATCGAGAGTTGATCAGCTTCCATGGCCGATGAGAGTGTACACTCTCAGCGGCCGAGAGTGTTTCTCTCGGCCGCTGAGGGTGTGCCATCAGCGGCCGGGAGGAATCCTCCCGGCCGTTGCGGGGTCTTTTTGGTAAGCGACACCCAAAACCCAGTGGGTATTGGGACGTCGACCCCCAACTCCTTCGGGGGTTGACCTTTTTTTTTTATTAAAATTAATAGTTTTTCGACTCCCAAACCCGCTGACGGGTTTGGGGGATCGACTCCCCATTCCTCCGGGGATTTCGGTGGAAATTCCGGGGGTTTCGGGGTTTGGGAGTCGATCCTCCACTTTTTGGGAGTCGATTAGCTAAGACCCTTTGAATATAGCCTAGAAGATAAGTACAGAAGACATGAGAGAAGATTGTCCCTCCTCAGACAGGGTTCAATGACTACAAGCTGGAAAGGAAACAGAGCCAAAATTCAAACAAGGATATAGCTTGTTAAGTTGACATTTGATCACTGGATCATTAATATGCCTGATGATCATTGCATCGTTGGGTTGTTGTTGAGTGGATGACTGGGTTTGTGACATGGGAAGTGTGAAAGGTGGAGATGCCCTGTGACATCGACCTCCCATCCCCACCCCTCGGCGTTCGAAAGTTTGAAGAAAACCAACAACAACCAACTACCAACTACCACTACTACATACTACTATCATCATCAACAACAACAACAACAACATGAACAACCAGCAACAACAGCAGCAACAACAGCGACAGCTACCCAGCTCACTAACACCCCAACAACAACAAGCACTACTCCAATCGCAGATCATCCAACAACAACAACTCCAGCAACAACAACTCATCCAACAACAACAACAGAAGAGACTACAACAAGCTAACAAACCACCACCACCTCAAACCAGACTCACCCAACAACAGCAACAACAACAACAACAGCAGCAGCAGGCTAGTTTCATCCAAAAGCAACAGCAACAGCAGCAAGCCTTACTCCTCCAACAGCAGCAACAGAACCCAGCACAACATCAACTTCAGCTTCAACAACAACAACAACAGCAACAACAACAACAACTGCAGCAGCAGCAACAACTGCAACAACAACAACAACAACTGCAGCAGCAGCAGCAACAACATCATCAACAACAGCAACAACTGCAGCAGCAACTTCTTCACAAACATCATCAGTTCCAATCAGCCCCTGGACATCCGCAACCCAATCTTAACCCTCCCTCAAACATCAAAAGACCCTCACCCTCGTATGCCGATGCACTCGGCCCAAACATTGCATTTACGCGCGCAAAGTCAGTCTCTTCATTTTAACACTCATCATTCTGCGATCGGGAAAACGCGAAACTGAAACAAAACAAAAAAACATGATTTACTCTCAGACGATTTAGACCCACCGATCGAAACTTACCCGTCTTCGAACCAGCTAATCCGGAAGCACCCAGATACAGTCTCGATGGATTGTTGCCAGAACGACAGAATAATTTGCATCGAATGGCCCAGAATTACGAGAAATTACAGAAGATCGAACGGGAGTTTGATTGGTTAATCTCCAGGAAACGGTTTGAGATCGAAGATTCATTACGCAAACCTAACGGCGTTTTGCGAACGTTAAGGGTCAAAGTCTGGAATACGGTCTCCAATCAACCTTGGCAACAACAACAAGGCTCTTCTTCTGCTGCTGCTGCGGCTTCTTCCTCGGAAAAGAAACTGGATAAGACGCGTCAATCTAGTCCAGGGACTGATGAAGATCAGCCAGAGAAGGATAACGAGCAGCAGGATAAGGAGAACGAGAACGAGAAAAAAGACGACGCTGATCACGGTGATCTGCCGAAACAAGCTGCTGGGCCCGGTAGCAGTGCTCCGATCAACTTTAACGCCGGCGAGGGGGTGCCCAAATGGACCCTACACATCGAAGGACATCTGATCGATGTGAGTCGATCTCCTCGCAATCTCTCCACAAAAAAAAGCGATTGTCTAATTATTTGAAGGACCGTTTTGGTAGCCGAATCATCAGTCATCGACAGACCAAACCATGGCCGACGCAGAGTCTTCAGAGCCACAGGATCAAGAGCCCAAGATCGAAGAAACCAGACGCCCATTCTCGACGCTCATGGAGAGTATGATGATCAAGATCATGCGGTCGCACGAGTTATATCCCGAGCCAAACCTCGTCGATTGGCATCGTCCAAGCTCCACTGCTTCAGCTCCTTCTCCTCTCTTCTCTACAATCACCCTCACTCGAAACGGCACCGAGGATTGTCCGGTTCAGATCGCAATCCATCTCAACCATTTCCCCCGTCGGTTCATGATCAACCCCCTCCTCGGATCCTTCCTCGATCTTAAAGAAGCGTCCCTCGATGAGATCTATGAATCAATTTGGTGCTATATTAAGAAAAACAAATTGATCGATTCCGGAGTCGATAAACGATTGATTCGGAAAGATTCTAATTTGGCTTGTGTATGCCCCCCCCTTTTTCTTTTGAGGTTCAACCATTTTTTGATCATTTTGTTTTACATTTGTCTGTTCGATGTAGTTATTTCCCCCCAACCTTGATCGAATGCCTTTTTATCAACTTTCAGATCAAGTGAGGAAGTTTTTAAGTGTACCTGAACCGGTGATAATTGAGTATGAAGTCAAGTAAGACCCATCCCCCACCTTTTCCTTTAAAAAAACGACATCATCTTATTTATCTTGATGATGTGTCTCACAATCAATAGGGTCGATCAAGAGGATCAAAACCGACCGGAATATTTCGATATCCAATTCTCGATCGAAGACCCAGCTAAATTGCATCTGTTGACTATCCAGAATCAATTGGAAGATATTAATCCTGCTAGTAGTCTTCATCAATCGGCGACCAATAATCCGGCCAATCCTACTAAGGAGATCTTGGCTATAGATGAACAAGTTTGGCCTCATCCCTTTTTTTTCCTCCTCTTTTAATTTTTCATTTTTTTTAATCAATCTTGATGAGAATAAGAACTAATGATGGCTCTTTTCAGATCATGGATTCGATGGCCAAGATAAGGGAAGTCAAGATCCGCCGAGATTTTTACCAAAAGTTTACGCTAGATCCGATCGGGTTTATCGAAGAATGGATCCGCTCACAATCGCGAGATTTGGAGGTACTGTTTGGCTTAGATAAGGGGGGAGAAGGGACGAGTGTGAACCGAGCCTTATCATCGAAACAGCCGAAGTCGTTGTCAAACCACCGATTCGAAGCTGGGGAGGGAGTTGGAGATGACGATGGTTTGAATGAGGCCGATCATCTGAAACGGTACTCGAAATTCTATCACCAACGATGGGTGGACGACGCGGTCAAGATCTACCAATCTCGCGAGTTCAACCACCGCGTCCAACAGACCCAGAAATCCTCTTCCTCCTCGGCACCCAACTTAGCCCACCATCACCCGCTCAACAATAACAACAATAATGCCAACAATAACAATGGAGGGATGATGATGATGAATCCGACTGGAATGGTCTCCAACAACCCTCCGCCTCCGATGTCTCATCCTCAACTCAACCAACATCCTCATCTTATCCACCACCATCATCTTCAACAACAACAGCAGCAACAACAACTCCTCAATCATCCTAACAGTCTGTCCAATAACGGGCATTCTAATTTCAATCACGCCGGGCCTCCCTCTAATCTTGCAATCTCAACCAATGGCCCGCTTATCAACTCGAATCATCTCGGGAATCCTGGTCTGATTAACTCAAATCATAATGGGGCGCCTGGGTTACGTGGTAATCGTTGATTTTTTTTCTCTCTTTCTTTCTCTTTCTATCTTGCCTCTTGTCTTCACTCCCCAGAATATATATAAAAAACACTTGTCTCTTATTTACTCTCTATAAGTAAGGTCTCTCATCCCACAAAAAAGCTGTTTTATGTCTTCTATCAGAAACCAAAAAAAAAGTCTGAGTTGAAGTCCATTTACCCCAGACCTATCAATCAATCAAGTTGCTATTATTGTTTTTGCTGTTTTTTTCTTTGTTCTTTTTTAGTCAGTTTTATAATTATAATCACAAAAAAACGAGAGAATGGGGAGTGTGTTAATCAATGGTTTTTGCCAAGTATGAACATCTTGCATTTGTCAAATATACCTCTTGAATTTTTTGGTGACAGGCTTAGAGCAGAAAATTACAAAAAAAACCTTTGTTGCCACTCTTGTCACGCGACGGGATTGGAGCAGAAATCTACAAAAAAACACAAGCCCTTTGGCCACTCTCGTCGGCCGAGATGGGATGGAGCAGAAATTTACAAAAAAACGTGCAGAGTCATCCAAGTTGGTAAATTTACAAACTTGATGACTGCGGTGCACATATAGCAACCCTTGGAGAAGTTATTTCCCACTGCAGGGTGCTATCCATATTCCTCATTCATGACAGGCCCTCCCCCGGTCCACCCCCCTATGAGGGCAATATGGTTGAGAAGTGGCAGGTTTCTTTTATGCTGTATTGATGTGAGTAGTGGTTGATAGGGGGGGGGGGGGGAAGTCCAGATTTCACCAGGATTGACCATGTGAAACCATTGGGTTGGGGAGGTACACGGGTTGTTATAGCAATTGCACATCTGGCAATGCTATACAACCCAAGAGGAGGAAAACTATATTCACCTCCCCTTAAGCACCCCCGGTGGTAGGGGTATTTTGAGCTTGGGGAGGTAAATTTGGTTTACTTGCGCAGTTTACCTCTCCGGGTGGAGATGGTCTTATAAGATATAAGAGCATCTCCACCGCCGGTGGTAAAACCGGAGTGGTAAATGTCGGATTTACCACCCACATTCCAGAATTGCTGCCTGAGATCAGGCAGGTGTGCCAGGACCCAGGAAGCCCCCTCTAGAGGTGGGTAACCAAAATGTATGAATTTTTGGGGAAAATCCCGAAATGATATGCACTAAAGTGGTATGAATCCACTCAAAAACCTGACATGGTATGCACAAAAATCGTTCAAAATGTATGAATTTTGGCTCAATCTTGAGGAAAGCCTGCCTAGCTGACACATCCCCAAATTTTTGGGGGCAATTTTCTTACTTTCTGGTGGATTTTGCTCTCAGCATACACACAAAAGTGGTATGAATGGCTTCCAAAAATGTATGAATTTTTGCAAAATCCGGGATTTTTGGTTATAACCCACCTATATAGGGGGTTTCCTGGGTCCTGGTGTGCCACTGCAAAGTTGTAAACCTGCACTGAGGATTGGATGAGCAACGGATATTGGCTTGTGAAAGGGTTGTACATATTGGGGTCTCACAAGTGGGATGGGTGGTTTCACACATGCACAAGAGGTACCTGGGGTGGTACACAAGTGTTAGATCTACAACCTTGATACATTTTTTGGACCCAAGATGTTGCTTACCACCCCGTATACCACCCGCGGTGGGGGGGGGTGTTTTGGAAATTGGGGTGCTAAACGGGGCTTACAACCCAGATTTACCACC